ATTATGCTTTCCCTTAAAAAACTACAATATTCTTTTAATAACACTTCATATTCATAATGTCAACTTATAGTGTATAGGATTTAAAGCAGATTATTTGTGTGAAGCCAAATTATATTTATGTTATATTACAATATATATTACAATCAATATTTTCAAATATCAAGTTTGAGCATAGTATATCCTTGAATTCAAAAAAGAGGTATAAACAATGTATAAGAGGTGATTTGCCATTTGTAGGATGAGTTATAAGAGACAACTTTTACATGTCGAATCTTCAAAATCTGGAAATAAGGTGATCCTTCTGAAGCATTAATCACAACAAAATTACATAAGAACTGCAGACTCGGTTTGATTGAAAGTGTACATGAGAGATAATGAATAAGTGCAACATCCCTCACGCCCCCTAGCACCGGCTTGAGCGGTAGTCAATTCTAAAACACGTAATATTGCTGGCATCAATGATCCCGAAGGTCCAGAAAAGTATAACAACACTGACAATTTTCGCCTGTCGCATAGTTTACTATTGTTTTTCTCAAAATCTTTCATTGACATGTCAGCCCAAAACTTACACTTTTCTGTATACGCCCCTATATAAAAGGGACGCAACCGTGTTTACTCCACGTGCAATAATAACGGGACCATCGGGAAAATAACGGTATGAACCGACAAACCGACACCTGCTGTCATAATAAGAAAACAAAATATTACAACTCGCATTATGCTTACCGCCATCTGCTTAGTGCTACTGTAACATGCGACTATAATATCGCTATCGTTGTCATCTTCGATGCCGATGTGCAGGGATCAAGTATCGCATTACATTTGTAATCAGTTAATACATTGAAGCATATGAATGGTAAGACACGTCAAATTCGCCAAATATTGATCAAAATCAATTATTTGTTGTAAAATAGTGTCGACAATGTAAGTGGCCAAATGATAGTAAATTATAGGTACTTACAGAGACTTACCATATTACATCTAGTTATATCAAAAACAAGCAAAAAATATAATTTTAAACACCTAGCATAATATGCTGACCTTAAGAAAAGGTGCGATTTAACGTAAAATGTATTAGAATATGTGAGTTTGATGGCTCAGAAAAGAACGCGCGAAGTTGCAATTACATGATAGTGCATTCAGAAATCAAAATGCATGATTTTATTCAGCATAACATAGGTTTCCATTGTAAGAACGATGTATAGAAGTCCTAATATCATCAAGCAAGATGGAATAAATGCACTAATTCAATTCCATACATTTATAGTTTATAAAGCGACTGATTGTTAGTTATCAAATGCAAACATCTTACCTTAAAGAATGTTTCACTCGGAAAAACTTTATATATATGCATGGTATGTCTGTACTACAGTTATTAAAGCAATACAGTTCCCGAACAATCATTCGCTACTCATTTTGTTCTTAAGAATGTTTTTCAATAAATTCGATTTAGCTTACAAATTTAAAATTCTATGTCTAACGCTTTTAAACAGGGATTGATTATCATTGATGTAATTAATGCTTATTAATTCGTCAACCAGTCTGTGTATGGCTTGTCAATACTATTGCAAGCCAAAATAATATTTCGTAAAAGGGTTGCAACAAGGGAAATATTCACAATGCGTATGTACACACAAATTGTATATCGCCCATAATAAACAATACGTTGACATTTAATAGCATAATATGAGTCCTCTAATAAACATTCACTAGTATTCATATTTTGTTTCAAATTTTACACAATACATAAAATGAATCCCCAGAAAGAAAATACAAACACATGAAATGGTTGCATCATGTGAAATAAGAAACGCACAGAAATGATGTCATCCATTGTTCCCTTACCTAACTTAAGTACAACTAACTAAACGTTCAAATTTCCACCCATAATAGACTTGTCATAACGTGGCACAAACTAATTAAACTTCGTCAATTATAATGAAATATTTAAATAATAACAATAGTCATTCACATAGATAAACAAACTTTAAACAAATTTATATGAAACTTGCCATAGTTTCTATCAAATTCTAAGTAGGAACCGAAGTATTTGAAAATTTATTTTAAAAAGAAATAAGTACAGCTGAAATTGGTAAGGAAAAAAACTATATGAAAAAGTTAAAATGTTTCTAATGAAATTAAAAATGAAAATAGTGACGAGAAGAAGTAAACTCATAATAAATATGAATAAATCAGGAACTGGAATGAAAAAGTAAAATTAAATGGTTTAAATATTCAAAACCGAGATAAAAAATACAGTTAATACAGCAACACCCGAGGAGACCTGACTGAGTATTGAACTTCCTAAATAGACAATAAAATTAGATTATGCCACGTAAATGATATATTGATATTAAAAAGCAAGAACAATAAAAACTAAGAGTACGTTGCGTAAAAAAAAAAGTCGTGTCAGAAAATCAAGTTTTGTTTAGTGTAATGGCACTATAATATTTATAAGAAAAACAAATGACAACAGGCAACATAATGTTAATGTAGAATATATGGATAAAAACACACTAATATAGCATATTTGATCTAGTTTCAAAACAGGGACTTTGGATTCTTACATTTGAGAAAGCTATCCAGCTAGCTTACGGAACGTTAGTGGTTCTACTCAGGTCCGTGCCTTGAATAATGTACGGAAGGGCACCTGAGGTCTTCCTCCACCAGATATGTTGGAACGTCGCCATATGACCTCTAATGTGTCGGTGTGACGTAAAAATTACTCACCCACGCAAAACAGGGCTAAAACATCATCATATTAGTCATGAATAGATATTATATTTGTCTATCCCATGAAACGGTTGCTAAGATTCACTTGACACATATATAAACAACCCTTATAATCACACCCGTTTACATGTAGCGAGCAGGACAGCTTGATGTAAGTAGAACTTACTATATAAATTTCAGTTTTTAACTGGATTACCGAAAATGTTGTTTTTTGTGTCTTTTTTAAAATCAAGATTTTTATAATATAGTGCAACGCTCAATTACGGATTTAAGAACACACAACCTCATCCAGGGTATCTATCTACGTGCAAACATTCGTTTACGGTGATAACCCCCGTATGAACATATATGCAGGTGTTTCAAAATTCTAAAATCTACCAGTTCATGATAAATGTTGAATTCTGCTTCAGCCAGTGCTAGGAGGCGTGAACGGAAACTTGCAATTACCATTACCGTCCTTGAGCAGGCTCATTTAGCCAAGCCTGGGACATTTTCAGTTTTGTCATAATGGGATTAATTTAGGGATTCTGTTTTTCTCAATTTTATAATTTAAGTCAATATTTCAAAAATTATCGATTAAAAATTGCAGCATGGAAAGACTAACCCTAGATTTTTTCGTCCAACAAGTCACATGCGTATAATCTAGTTCCATATAAATAGACAAGTCTGCCGTGATAGTCAATGAGTTGATGATATTCAATTTCAAAAACGTGGAGACATCAATCTGTGAGAAAGTAGCTTTAAAGAAATATATACAATTTTTTTTTGTTGTTGTTTTTTTTTAACTGAATTGTATTCCGTCCAGTTATAGCTACAATGTTCTTGTCTTATATTCCGTAAATCAATTAGTTTGGAAATATTACATTATTTTCCGTATGTCAAAATTTTATTTAATTAAAAACCAATCCTGGACCCTGATTGTGCATGAATTTCAAAGCATATGATGTGCTTAAGGATTTTAACATATCCTGCTTTTATCAAATTGCCTGGAACAATGATGGTATACGTCCTTGCACGCAACACAGGGCAAACATCTCGATCCGTCCATATGAATCACGTTTTGCAATTGGACTCGTGTCAAGTGCATATGACGTCAAGCCCAATCACGTATAGGTGTTCTTTCTTACAATGCCTATGATACGATTACTTATTGCCTGAGCCGAGATTCCTAACTGTTGTTGAAGTTAAGCGATAACGTAGACGTGTTAACGTAACGAAGGATCCTCTCTACATGACGTCACTCGGGGCATACCTGATCTCGGTCTATCCGTAACTGACCAAGTAGTTGCATACATAAATGACAGGTTGTGTATTTTCTGTTTACCACACAAAATGAAAGCAACTATATTTACGGACTTTTTTATGTTTTTGTGTCATTGTTAAAAAGTACGCGAGACTATGCAACAAATCGAACTTGAATGAACCTGCTTTAGATTAAAACAAGGTAGTGGTAATAGTAAAGAAATAGTAAATAGCATGATACTCTTACACAGTACAATTGCTCAAAATAAATTTTGACAGTGTTCTCTCTTTACCCTGGCCCTTAGGTATGTGTCTATTACGTTCACAATCTCTAAACGATAACCCACTAAAAATGTCATGAAGCATTCATCGAAAAATTATATGAGTTCGGACATTCTGTGTGACAAAGGCTAGTCTGTTTTAGATATATAACCCTCGATTTAAGCATTTTTCTTTCTAAACGATTGGTTTTTCTTGCTCATTTTAAAATAGTAAAAAGGTTACCTATCTATGTCATTAAACGCATGAATTAGTCAGAAGTGTAGAAACCAAGGGTGGCCATGTGAGGAATAACATGCCCAGTAGCCGGTGTGATTAACCCAATACAAATGCAAAAAAGTGGATTTATGAGGGATTTGAGATTTGACAAGCCTTTTCTGTATCTAAAATCATTAAGGTAGGGAAGGATGGAGAGAAAGAGTATTTGGTCCTGAAGGTTATTGGTAAAAAGGAAAGAAGCACTTGTCCGATGTTTTAGGTGGGCAGTCATGTTCTGCCGCGATTCCCACAACAACGTAACTGATTGGTTTTCTGAGCTTGATGCTAATACTGTCCACTGGACATAAGGACTATACATAATTTCAAGTCATTCAATATTTGATATTGAATCTACACAATTTAATATCCATATATCTAATGAAGTTATTTTAATACTAAACTTGAATTGATTTCAAAATAGAAAACACATAAATTGTGAACTAAATTGTTAACCTACTTAGAAATGTACTTTGTTCAATTAAGTCAATTACAACATAAAAAACTACATGGGGTGTTTTGACTCACGTCTGTTCAAATAAACTCTGTTACAAAAGTTCGTATTTAAAGTGTGATAAATATAAAACATAAAGGTTTAAAATTATGACCCATGTGTAACAACAACACCATGTCAGGATAAACAATTATGTCAAGTTGTTTTATTGATAACATATATCCTGTTTAAATAACTGGCTTTAAATTAAGTGTTTGTACGACGAAAACAAGGACAAACATTTCTTCGAAACAGACGAGCAAAAACCAAAAGCAAAGGAATGAAACAAATATTCTAACAACTTGTGAATCAGCGTTTATTTCCATAAAACTATTTAGATTTTCTTCGCTTTTAATTTAATAAGATCTAACATTGCTTTGCAAACCATTTGTTATCCACAGAAAGTCATTGGAATAACTTCGTAAACAATGAAATATAGATTTATATTTAGTTGCAAATTGCTCACAGTGGCATTGGTTTCTAGCATTTTAGGATGTATTCTGTTACAGGAATTGGTAAGTGAAAAGAATTAAACTGATTTATCACACTTAGTAACACACTTGATTATAAATGAATACTTGTGCTTATTTTTTATGCTCACTCAGTCGGGATGGAGAAGGTTTATCCGGTGAGCGAGAAAGTGTATCTTGGCGAGCTTTAGCGACCATTAAACATCAACCATGTATTTGATTTATCCTGCTTTTTATCACGTTTTTAGAATAATAAAATGGTTCCATTCTTACTTTTCCCCGATAAAATAGCATCTATATGTAGTTTTGTTTTGCTGATAAACATGTGAAGTCATCATGTGACGAAGACTGGAAGTTTATCCGGCAAGGCTTTATCCAGCTGATGATATAGACAGTAGCAGGTTAAAAATATATCTCAAACAATATTTCTAGTATTTTAAATAGCCCGCAATTTAAAATCATATATACTTTTCATTTGATATATAATTAAGAAAACAAAATCATCATTGGCAATATGCATAGCACATATGCCTTCTGACTATTTGTTTATTATATTTTAATACTCTATTTTTACCCAATTTCCAACGATTGAACATAAGCTGCATGCTTTCTTACTGCTGTATTGATGGTAGTTATGTCAGGATATATATGTTTCTTATGTTTTTTTAACATATTTATCAATAAATGCATGTATTATCTAATCATATGTATTGATAAATGTTTGAATTATAATGTAAACATTAATCGGTTATTGTTAAATATGTAGGCTCAATTGACTCCTACTACAAAAGTGATAAAAATGGATCAGTTGAATGTAAAGAGGCGATTTGTTGAGATTTCAAGTCAAGGAACATACATTTATTCAGCCTTTCTCAATCAAGACAAAATCAATCGAAACGAGGAAAAAACGATCGTCGTTCTCTCTTGGCAACAAGAAAATGCTACAAAAAACAGATATAAATGCTGTGTGGTATCAAACAATGAAATGCTCTCCTTGCAGTCGTCGAAAACAAATTATTTTGTGCGTGGTTATGGACGTTTGTATGCAAGTCGAGTTGAATGTCATGTCCCTCCATGGATAATCAGCATAGATTATGTCTCTATTGTTAAACAAATTGACGAATGCCCAGCCAAAAGAACATTTTATATTACAGTGACTGTCCGTAAACAAATAACAAACAGACCGAATTTAGCAATATGCAATAAATACTTATATGGATCGATTGATGCATTTCAATTAATAGAATGGTTTGAAGTGAATCTTTTTCATGGAGTGGACACATTTACAATACATTACAACCCAAGTCTTAATGAATTGTCTAAACGTGTTTTGAGATATTATGAAAATAAAGGAATACTACAAGCTTTGGAATTACTACCACCACTAGAAAGTATGTTTCGAATATACTTATGTCAGCAAGTAGAAACGATATACGACAATTCATTCATAAGAAATATATTAAAACCATTGTCTGGCATTCACACACGAAGCCCTAAAGGTGACATTTTCGATATTGTTTTCCCAGGACCTAATTCGTTTTTGTGAAACATTTATTCGTTTATACGAAATATAAATTCGTTTTTACAAAATATCAATTTGTTTTTACGAAATATAATTTCATAATTT